ATCTTGAAAAACCTGGCTACAAACATTTGCCGCAGCCGGTACAGACAACACGTGAAATATAGCAATCAATCTGAGTATTTTGAACTTGGGTCAGCACCAAACTCGTTAGATGCACACTTATGCTGATTTGGGTCGCTGCTCTTGGACGACAGCAAATGTTAACAAACATATCTTAGATTTTTAAAGTTCACATTCTAAGTAACAATGCAACACTAAGAAGTGTTTTCGGCGTCAAAACTAGCTTTGCTTCTCACGTTAGTAGCGTTAAATAAAACAGCGAAGGCGGGCGGACACCATCGATGTGTCTGTGTAATAATAATACCTTAAGGTTGCATTGCATACATCTCTGCTAAACCCGGACACATTTCTGATAAGAATCGCACATGAAAACATCAATAAGCTACCATGAAGTTGTGATCGACGTTGTATAAAAATAGATTTATGTTAATGAGTATATATTCTATAGTTGTGTTAATATTTCCTGCATGATTTTGAGGGTGCATGCTTACATTTTGGGTATGAACACGTTTTTCTTAAAATGTGTACCAATAATTTGCATATAACGTCATGTACCGTGCTTGTTTCTGCAACTGAATTTCTAACCAGCTCCTTTTTGTTATCCAATTTGATCTGTGAACATTTATCCTTTCGTGTACTTTGTCCCACAGGCTTTTTTTGGAATTCCGACCTGAACTAAATGTGTCCAGGTGAAAATAACAATCACCAACATGCTATAAATACTAAGTCCTGTAATATTTGGTAGCACTACGTTTACAAGACACATTTTTAGCGTTTCTTTATTCACGTAGGCTTACAGGTTACAAAATAGTTTCTAAAGGTTTGCTCGAAAAACAATATTAATAATCCTGGAGATATTTCTGACATGAGTAACAGGGTTTAAACCAAATTATAATTTTGTGAGATGCGATCTTGAAACGAATAACATGGGCATTAAACACACACACATTGTATGCTTTAAACTATATATATATATATATATATATATATATATATATATATATATATATATATATATATATATATATATATATATATATACATACTAGTTGCGGAAACTAGTTCCGCAACTAGTCTATACAAGCTGGTTGTATTTATAGTTTTAACAAATGTGGAGACAGCCATGTAGAGGTTTACAAACACAACGTTTTTGTGTTTATTTGTTAGTCGTATATATGTTTTGTATTTGCCTTTGATAAAGACTCATTAAGAGTCGAAAGCGCTCAGGCTAGTTAGTTACTAGTTTCGTACTGTTCGTCGTCAGTTTATTGCATCTATTTTAATCAATCCCTTACACACGTGATCCCTTGGTGGATCCAGTACGCTTGAAAGGGTTGTTATTCGCCATATGATTTGTATTTATATATATATATATATATATATATATATATATATATATATATATATATATATATATATATATATATATATATATATATATATAAACAATTAAAACATAATTTGAGTTCATATAATACCCCAAAGATTAATTTAGATTGTGAACATAATTTGAACTCTAACTTAAATTTAAAAGATGCAGTTAAAATCTGTCTTTTGTGGTTAAAGGAAGGTCCACATGAAAGGTTTTATTACAATTTTGTCTTGCTAACAAAATGCATTTAAATGCTTCGTGCTCAACATCAGGGTGTATTCATTCAAATGTCCCTGTACTTAGTCCTGCACACTTTTAATCCAATCTAACACAATACCTCTTTTACTAGAATTATGATTCTTCATTTGTCACCTTAATCGAACTGACCTTTCCCAAGAAAACTACCAACAACTGGTGCAAAATTTCATAAAATGAAATCAAAAACAGCTTGAAATTTTGATGACTTATCTAAGAAAATGTCAGTTGGGAGATTGACTATTGCAATATATATATATATATATATATATATATATATATATATATATATATATATTTATATATATATATAGAGATATAGATATATATATATATATATATATATATATATAATGATTTATGACCTACCGGATGTTGGTCTCAAATACTTTTTTCGGGAGAATTCCGATATGAATTCAATGTGTCATGGTGGAAATGTCAGTCACCAACGTACTATAAATATTTATGTATTTATTGTGATCCGTTTACAGGACATTTCTTTAACAATAATTTTCCATCTAGAGCCACTTACATGGACATATATTTCGGTAAGTATAACATGATTCACACAACCTTATATGGGTTTAAGCGAGTTTTGACTGCTTGGACCATAAGATCCGCAGAAATATCAATTTTCAATATGCCAAAATGAAAACCCTTAGAAATTGATATGCCCTAATGACACAGTTTCTTGGAGTTTATATATGATGCAAGCTTGATCTCTCTGCACGTACGTTAATGTACTTATTAAAAAAAATGTTCAAAAATAACATTTCAAAATCATCTTGAATTATGTATTTGAAACTTTTGGAACAGGGCATATATCTAGTTGCTTTGAATTGCCTTTTCGTCCATAAATTGCAGCTAGATGGAACTCAAAGAAAACAACACAAAGATTGCAAAGTTTGGCATGTTTAGTTTTTTTGGGTAATAATGTAGCAAATATGGATGAATTCGTATATTTTGCAAACCTTTCTAGATGTAAACATTTTTCTAATTTGTATGTGGCCTCCATGTTACATGCTAACATAAATAACTTTGTGAAAATCAATGTAAGCTTTCAGTCAAACTTGATGTTCATGTAACTGCTTGGTTAGAAGTAAGGTTGATCCAAATACAGAACGTCTTTTTCAGCACTATACATATTAATTGTGTGATATGTTCTGTACTGATTGGTAAAGGTGTCATATATTGTGTATAATATTCAATAACTTGTATCATGCCAATACAAAGAACAATATGTTTATTTATCTTTTTCAGCAAGAAGCACAACGATAATGCTGACGAGAAATTTGAGATTGATTTTTGGAGTAATGATTATTGCATCAGTAGCAATAGCGCTGTTTGGCTTTATTTATGAATCACTGATAACATGTAAATGGAAAAACTTATTTCGAAATGATTCCGATGTAGACCTCAGGATAATATCTATTGTTGGAAATCGAGCAACGTCGCTTAAAAGACTTTTGAACTCATTAAATAATGCATCATATTTCGAAGACATTGTTGTTCTTGACATTTGGATTGACAGATCCAAGGATGGAAAGGTGGATACGCAAACGTTAGAGGTGGCGAATTCCTTCCAGTTTCAACATGGTATAAAATCTATTCACGTCCAGCCAACACATGCAGGTGTATACGGACAGTGGATTTACTCATGGGATGTCAGTGATCATTCTCCAGAAATTGCTGTTATACTTGAAGATGACATTGAGGTTTCTCCTTTCTTCTACAAGTGGTTAAAGATTGTGCACACAAAATATGATAGTTACGATAATATCAACGGATATTCGTTACATGGCAGATGTGAAAATCATGCGCTAATTGCTCCAAGAAACAAATATATTCATGTTCCTAAAAACAACACAGTTTTTCTTTATCCAGCCTTCAACACTTGGGGATTTTCACCACATACAAAGCATTGGATGCATTTCGTGAACTGGGTGACGTTAAAAAGCAACGATACAACATTTAAACCGTCTGTTGCAAACATTGAGCCAACAATCGCGTACGAGATTGCACGAAGCAGAGGAACAGTGGCTAATAATTGGGATTTTTTGCATCTATATCATGCATATGTACACAAGCTCTTTACTATATTTCCAAATATTCAAGGTAAGAGTTGTTCAACATATTAATTTGTAGCACGATGTAAAGATTGTAAGGACCAATCAGTAACCTATTTATCAGGTGCATATAGCAATGCTTATTTATTGAGAATGTAATATATTTTACCGTCGAAGAATGGGTTCAAATGTGAATTTTTTTAAAAACTGTCATTGAAAATACGGAAGCTATTGACAAGGTGCATAATTGTTTAAAATAACAATCAATATAAGATTTTCTGTATACCTGAACTATACCGAAAATGCGTTAGACTCGTTCCCAATCTACAGCTAGTTTAATTGTCTTTCAGTGTGCATTAATTTCACATCCGTTTTAGGTGACAATGGATTTGCCGTTCATTGGAAAGAGAAAGGACTACATTACCCAGAGAACATAGACAGAAGGCCCTCTGGAGACCTTCTTCGAGACTGGAGTCCTGATATTGAATCGTTGCCTGACAATCCAATATACTTAGACTTCGCTGGAAGAAATATTAACCCCAAGAATTATCAGTGGCCTTAACACTGTGGCATATGTGTACATTTTCTTCATGAAGCGAAACATCAGGATACATACCATCATCTGAGTGTTGGATTTGGATTTGAAAGTAACATAGTGTAAATAAATTTGGAAATATTATAAAGACATAAAGTGCTAGATTTAGTATTGAATAATTACTTAAGAGGAAAAAGAGTGTTCGTGCATTTATATAATCATTTATTATATTTTTCAACTACTTCATAATTTAATATATGGCATTTCATGCGTGTTGTTTTATGCACACACTACTAGAGAGATGTCAAATCTAGATTACATTACATAATATTTCAAAGATGAGTCTGGTGACACTCTGTGAATGAATGCTGCCAAGGTAGGTGAAGTGGTTCACTACGTTGAAGTTTTGGCCGTTGACGGTGATGTTGGGTTCAACAAAGGGCTATCCCAGGACCGACTGATGCAGTATTTCAGTCTTCTTCGTATTGATGGTGAGACCAAAGCTTTTGCAGGAACTGGAGAACTTGTCAACGCTGCATTGCAGGTCTTCTTCTGAGTCAATATTGAGGGTGCAATCATCGGCAAATAAGAAGTCCCTGATGGTGTATGTCATATCCTTGGTTTTCGTTTGTAGCCTGATGTGGTTGAACAGTTTTCCATTTGTACGGTACCTTATGCAGACTCCAACTTTTCCATCTCTGAAACCATTAGTCAGCAAAGAAGTTGCTAGTACCATTTTTATAAGTCTACGGAATGACTCGCACAGGGATTCGAACCCATGACCTCCTACATCCAAGGCAGACGCTCTAACCACTTAAATCACAGAAGCGTTCACCGATAGATAGTTAGATAGATAGATAGACATACAGAGACAGGCAGGCAGACAGACAGACAGACAGATAGATAGATAGATAGATAGATAGATAGATAGATAGATAGATAGATAGGTAGATAGGTAGGTAGGTAGGTAGGTAAGTAGATAACGGAGAGACAGACAGACAGAAAAATAGATAGATAGATAGATCCAACACGCCGTGTGTAGTGACCAATGCCCCATTATTTGCTAGCTACCGGTATACCTGTTTACTGTGGTATTTTTTGTAATACTATGTAACACAGTATATTTTTATTGTACCCGAGCGTCGTTAGTTTCCCTCTGTAAGGAATTTATGGAAATACTCGAGGAATATTCTTGTGACTTTAATGTTATTAATGATCCATTTTCATAATTCATAAGAACATATTTAAAAATTTAATAAATATTACCAATATACGTATATTTTTAAAACTTTAATCACCTGTTTGACATGTCACGCATGCCAAGATGGAATGTCGTGAAACATATTGAGGTTAAATCCATCTTTCAGAAGAATACGCAGCTAACTAAAAATCCAACAAAGCAACTCGCCATGTGTAGATATCACTACTAAGTCGTCTATAAAGCACGGGCCCACACAATGCGAATAATATCACGTTTATAGCGACCAATCCCATAGTTATCTACTATCCACGACATAACATACACCATCGAACACGCCAAGTTTAATGATCAATATGCGATTACGTACACTCCCATCCTCAAACCAACACACCTGATGTATGGCCCAATGCAAAGTCATTTACAGTCGAAGACACAACTCACTATACCAATGCCCTGTACATAGTTACTAAAACCCCTTATCGACTATCCAAAACAGCATTTTGTGATGACCAATATCATGTCATATACTATCCATCACACCACACTGTCTCATCAGCAACCCATCTGTTATCTATATCAAATACCCACATTATACCATTAACACGCCGTGTACAGTGACCAATACCCTGTCATTTACAATCCAACACATGATCCTGTATTATCAATGCGACGTTCATAATGACCTGCTGGCTAGTGGGTATATGTATATAAGCGCTTTTATACAGACCACTACCCATAAGTCGGAGCATATTGGAGGTGTCCGGCTGTTGTTGCTGTAGGGTTTAACGCCATTTTTCAGCACAAGATAGGCTATACATGGTGGCCAGTATTAATGGTGGAGAAAGAACCCTGGAATGCCCAGGGAAGAACCACCGACCCACGAGAAGCTACTAGCAGGCTTTCTCACTTACCCACGTCAGCCGAGTCTGGTCTCAAACTCACGCAGAGGTGAGAGAGATGGCAGTGATCTGTAACGGTGTCTGGTAATCTGCATATATTGTACAGATGTTTGAAACAGCTCTAATCATTGAAGTCAAATCATAATAACTTTAAACTGAAAGTGACTGAAAAAGAACTAAACTTTCAAATGTGTCACGACCTTTTTTAGGGACTAGAAACAAATCAGGATAAAATGATCAATTGAAAATGAAAATTCATTAACATAATTTTTAAAATTTTACAAGGCATAGATCGATGCTAAGTACATTAAATTTGCATTGTTTGTTAGTTGTTTTTGAATTCATTATATGCTCCGAATAATTGTATTTTGGACTCGACCGTGGCCAAAATCAATTTCATGTTCCTGACACTGATGTTGCTCTCATTTTGTAAATAAATAATACATAGTTAATATTTATCTCTGACTGTGGGTTAAATATTAGAATCATTAGTCTAAGTCAAGACAATTTAGTTTACCATGCTATTGATTAAACTTTTTGAATTTATTTTATATAATTATAACTTTAATTGATCTATAAATGATATTTTGTTCTACATTCTGGCTCTTTTGTTGCTTCGGGTTTTGTTTATATAACACTGTTTGTCTTATAAATGATCAATTCCTCCAATGACATCTGGAGCAAAACTCAGTATTGTTGTGTTAATTATATAATTTGGGTTTAATTTTTTTATTCGAATTATTTATTTACTGTAAAAACCAAGTGATCTTATATAATATTCTTGGACAGTAATATTCACTTGCAATGATAGTGAACTCAGAAAAGAACATATAGGATTATATTTTGTGATTTCTTGGAAGACTGTTAGCACATCATCATGCTTCTGGGCACTGGTATATTAGTATATGCAAACATGCGAGCACATCTAGAACTTCAACGCTGGATCATATTTCGAACATCACTGAAATTTAATTAAACTACATTAAAGACTGTTAAGAACGTTTTGGCTTATTTAGGATTTAATTATGAATAGTGCAAGTTCTCTTTTAAATTTTCACTTTGTATTCTTAAGAAATATTTTGTATTCTTAAGAAATATGTTAATTCGACAATTTTACAAAAGGTGTTGGCTTTCTATCTTTTCTATTGATTATTTAAGAACATAGAGTCACGATACTATAAAGAGAAATCGAAGTGACCACCAATGTGTTCCTACAAGTTAAATCTTCATTTTCTGTCAAGTCTTTGTTATGTATTCTGTCATCGGAGCAACTATTGAAACTTTAAGTTTTCATCAAGTAGATAAACGGTGGACTATGTATCTTCTTCTATAGTCAATTCCCTACGTTGAAATATACCGATGGTCAAATTCTTTTAACAAAGTAATATTGATAGTTCTATAGACATGAATCCCAACATTTTCTGTTGTTTTAATGTCAAATCACCATACGTCAAACAACTAAATCACGAAGCTTCTTGGAAAGTAGCTTAGGTAAAAATCATTCTTCCCACACAAGTCAAGAATGTGGTTAAATGTTCAACCACATTCGCTAACAATTCAACGGGCAAGGTCAAGAAACCTAGGACAAAACCTATCCTCTCATAAGTGAATCGCCAGAAAATACCCGAGTCTCTATTCAATGACAATCCTTTATGGTTTTATTTTAATGCTCCACGTATCGTCGAAATTATCTCATTTATTTTCAGGGATCTGTTTGACCAATAACTGGAGAAAGTACACTGATAGAGCACCAGAAAATTGCACACTTTGTTACAATGTATCATTCGCACTATACAACAACGCTCTTTATAAAATTATCTCCATTTGATATTCATTATGGCAATACTAACATAACACCACATACAAGAAAAACATTAGCAACAACGAATGTACAAGTAATTTAATTTCCCTAGTGAGTTGAATGAAAGACTAAATTTCATGTTTGTATATTGTAATGCCGTTGCGTATAATGCCGTAGCCAAAGAAACGGCTGGTCTCTTGCTGCGAGTCATTCCTTCAAAGTTGATTATGACATATCTGCTAGCGATGATAGAGGAGCCAAATTATATCATGCTCATCGAGAATATTTTAATTTCTTAGTTGTAAATTTTTTACTCCGAGTTGATTATATGATAACATGCTACTGAATTCAATAATATGAAATTACAGTATCAATGTTTATATATTTTCTTCACTTATGCAGGATGGGCCTTCCTTGTGATGATTTAGTGACTTGTTTTGATAATGTCAATAGGTGGTTATGCGAACATTATGGCTTTCTATCTTTAGCAAAGAAATGTTGTGTAAAATCACTGGAATCCAACTGAAATTTCAGAACTTTTTGAACCTTGTAAATAAGTTTATTTCTAATGGATTTCTTTGTGAATTTGCAAATAAAGAGAAATAGACGTACCCCGATAATTCAGTTACTCAGACTAGTTTTAAACAATGCTAATGTATGATAAACGTGTGGATCCGTTTAATATAAAGAAACATCTCATGTAACATTCTCTCTCTCAGAATCACCGTCGATCTTTGAATACTTTTTCCAAGACGGATCTTTTTCTTCCTTAATTAGTAGTGTAAGGTGTTGGTCACTCAAAACAGCATGAAATTAAAACAAACATATATATTTATCTTTCATAATGTATCAACATTAATAAATTTAAAAGTTTGATTATGTCGACATTATTCAGTTCTGGCTAAATTCATTATGCTTTGTTGATTCATTAATTTATACAAAAATACGTTTGTAAAGGTTTTCACTTGTAATACTAGCTTATCATAATTTGTAATACTACTTTGTGCATGTTTTATATTTTGGTAGAAATAACTTAAAAAAGCTACGATAAATTATGTATATATTTATAAATGTAAGTATTTTCGTCTTTATCGTATTTTGAATTTATTTGTTCTGGATTTTGTTCCTTCTCCACTAAAGTTCGTATGAGTTTACGAATTTTAGTAATACTTTTAATCTAAGTTTTAATTTTTTTCCTGACATTACCTCCGCTAAAGCCCAGACGTAAAGTTCGGACGTTTATTAGTACTTCTAGACGCTATCATTGTACTCTAATATTCAGTATTGTTTTCCTGTCCAAGGATAAAAGCTGTTAGAGTTCGAAAGTTTGGTACTACTTTGAGTCTCCGCTAAAGGCTGTGACGGTTTCAGAAGTTAATTGCTACATATTTGTAACGTTCATTTTATTACTATTGTGAGTTAGTTTCCTTCATTAAAACTATCTGTTAGATCATTACAGTATATGACAATTTTCAGACAACAGCATGATATGTATTACAGGTAGTGGTTATAAATGTATTGGACAGCATGACACTGCACATGATTGCTGGCTGACTAACGATAAGTGTTGGATAGTATAGAACGAAATATTTGTATCTTCACAAGGCGCGTTGGACAGTTTATATGGGATAGGGTGTTCCATCGTGTATGGCAGTGAGTTGGTAGCTACACACATAGTGTTGATTGTATAATGTAGGTGTTGGATAATAGAAAACGGAGTTAATGGATAGCTAGGTAGTGTGTTTGAATTGTAAATTAAAGTGTCGTTATTTGTTCCTATAAAACATTTCACCCTTTAACGTTCTAACTCTGTGAACACTTTTCGAACAAATATTAGACCCATTATGATCCCAATACCCCTATATAACTAATTTTAACATCAAGAGTTTCCTTCTCCCTAGAGCGCTAAATGTGTGCGCAGAATGTGA